TATATAATAAAATTTAGGTGATATATATATATATATATATGTATATATATATGTATGTATATAATTCAAATATAAGTATTAAAATTCTTATTAAGGGTTTTAATTAAAAATTTTAAACTCGCATTATAACTCTCGGCCAAGCGTTATGGTAAAGCCCTAATCATTTTTCCTCCCCCGAACGCGATTTCGACCCTCAGCACACGGGATAGGGTTGGCTTTTGCTCCCTCTCACACAAGTTGCTACTGTGGTTGACGCCCCGTTCCTTCCGCCACTCTTTTCTTCCTTCGACTTCAGTCCGTCCTTCCCCACACTTCTTCTTCCTCTGCGCTCGCATGTTCCGCGAGCTTCCTCTCTCTCGTCTTCCTTCGATCGACCAAGACAATAGTTGCAGAGCCACTCCTCTACCTCCCTCAAGCGCGTCCATAAGGCAATAGCAACATTTGGTTACCCAACTGTTCAATTCATTTTCTTCAGCTTCGTCATTTCCTTTCGTTTCCTCTCCCATGCTCAATTTTTTGTTTCATCTCCCACTCTTTGGCCGTTCGATTCCTCATCCCCCAATAATTGAAATAGAACATTACATTACCTAATTCTAAGCCACGGGCCTAATCGTGACATACGATGTGAAACATGTTACAGTGTGGGAATGACTGTGAACTTACACAAAGTTGAAAGCAGGTGCAATGGGAAAGTGAGGGATGCAGGTGTGCGGTGCGGGAAGCGCGGAGGCATGAGCATACAGTCAAGTGAGCAAAGGTGCCAAGGGCCAGCTTTTTCAAGCAGTTGAGGCTACATGTGATAGGGATTAAATAGGATTAGGCTTAAATAACGATGTTTTGGGAATATTGCATCAAGACCAAGGGAGAGGAGAGATGAAGGTTAGGATTAGTATCAACTTAAGACTTATAACATGTCAAAGGAGAAGAATATAATCTTTTGTACCATTCACTAGATAACCTTTACATTGATAATAGGAAAATGAGTACAATATTCTAATATACACTCAATTAATGAATCCTCATCACCAAATAAAATATTTGCTTACACTAACAAAATTAATTAATGAAATGTGGTCGACACAAATGCATAAACAAGGTAAATAAATGGGATGATACTTACTGTATTAATACATCCTTCTCATAACAGATGTGTTTGCTAACATAATAGCTTGATTGAATACTACAATTAGTAGCAAAAGACTTTTTTTCTTACCTGATCATCAAGCACCATCGAGAACTCTTTTAGAACTTGCTGTTTCTCTTTTACACCTTGCTGAGTTTGTTGAACAAATTGTTTGAGTCTTTTCTTCATTAGTTTGTAGTTGATATAGTATCTAGAATAATGAAAAAAGCAATGAATACATAATAATAGCCGGAAGGTACTATATAGTGAAACGGAAACAAAAATCGAAGCAATAAAAAATGAACTTAAGACAGAAATTGCATGTAAATTAGCACTGAAGGAACGGTGATTAAGATTGTAAAAATAGCACATATAATTAATAATGCATCACTTCATAAAGGTAAAAGAGGTCACATGCAAATGCAAAAAATTAATTGGATGGAGGTAATCATGGTACATGTAAAAATGCAGCCGAGAATCAATGGCATACGAGTTTCAAAGAAGTGATAAAGTTTTTCTTTCTTTTTACCTTTAACTTGTGCAATAGAATTAACAACACACTTCAACAAATTAGAGTTCCACCTCACGAAGCAATCAAAAAGGAATGAGAAAGCAGGATTTATAAAGCTGATGAAAATGCTGGCTTGCAGTTTGGAACAACAGAAAATAACCATATTGAGTTGGATAGAAGGAAACTATACATGGCTTATTGGTCACTTCTCTAGTTCATGGCACAATATAACTACCAAACTGAAACAAATGAATAAAAAGGAAATTTACATACACAGAACACAATTCATATGTATTTTACATATCTCACACCTAAGCTTTCAAATTTACATATATAACACTTCGGTGCTTTAAGCCTATGCATGAAAGCATGTATTTCACTTTTTAAAAGTGGTAATAGTACTATTTTTGATATGATATGAAAGATTTGAATGCTCTATGTGTAAATATGAAAGTTTAGATGTGAGATACGTAAATATGCCAGAATTGTGTGCTATATAAATGCCCCAAAATAAAAAGGCATGAACAATTTATGAAATTTTAAGAAAAAGTTACATAATATCTTCAGAAACATTGAAAACTTCCATGCATTTTGCAAGAGAACATCAAGGATCACTCAAACTTCAATGCATATGCAGGTTGTTCCTACTAAATAGTAGTGTTTGCACAGACAACAGCGAAATCATCTGCGTGCGAGAGAAGGGGCAGATGGCGGCTGCGGGGTCGATGTCTGTGGGATCTTCTGCATGCGTTAGAGGACGCATGTGTAATCGACGTCTGCAGAATCTTCTGCGTGCGGGAGAGGGGTGAATTCAGTAGGTTTGCAAAATTAGGAACTGTTTTTCTTTTTTTATCCGATTATAAAGTGGGGAATACGCCCCACGGGGCGATCTATTTGCATAAATCATTTTGCAAGGAGTCGTGTATAGTCCTCATCGTTTGCTAGTTGTATAAAGATATGTCTACCATCTATGAAACCAACATCCCACCAACCCTTAAATTTTAACATTTTGAATTCTTTCCTGATTAACTATACTTTAGGAGTACCATAAGTAAATTTACCTACAAGGGCTAGACAACAAGAAGAAACTAGGATAGAAGTTTGAACCTCTATAACAAAGAGAGCAAGATTCCCATTTTTTCTTCCCAACTTCTTAATGAAAGTATAATTCCCTCCCATAGTTAGCGTATCATGAAAGCCTTGGGGAAACAGTCCCGTAGTAGGAGTGGCCGAATCATCCCCCCCCCCCCCCCCCCCCCACACACACACACACGGACTTGGGGCGAAGTGGCAGTGTTTTATCTACAATCAAATTTGAATAAAATTTCAAAATGCAAAAGTGGTAAAATTTTTATGTAATTTATTTATATTCATATATTTTAAGCTCAATCTATCAAAACGAGCTAGCTCATTTCAATTTCGAGTTGGATAAAGATCAATTCAATTGTAAACCAAACTGACTCAAAATCAAACACAACGAACCACGAGCCAATTTCCTGTTGATTCAAACCCACTCGAGCCTATTTTGAGCCGTCTCTAGGTTGGCTCGAAATCAGATCGTTCACAATCTTACCTACAACAACAACAGTGATCACCTAAATGAAGGAGACGAAGAAAATCCTTTTACGAAGAAGCTTCAAATGACAGTGTTGATGCCACATCGATTCAACACCGAGTATAGGAGAGTGATTTCAGAGTTAAATAGATTTGTTGAACTTTGACGATCGGAAAGAATGACATGAATTATTAAGTGGCTCTAAATTATGGAACAAATTTTTAAATACAAGAAAGCTCCACCTGATGACGACTGACAAAATAATAAAGCTAATGCCATCAAGTTAAAGAAAAGTGGTTTCCTATGATGAAAATTTTTGAACGCCTATGCTAGCTTAAGGAAAAAACGGCAGTCCAAAATAAAGAGGGAGATGCAACGGAAGTACATGCAATCACACTAGAGAGGAAGAAAAATATTACATCAGTACTACGCAAGTAGAGTAACGTGCGTAGCCAATGAAATCACGTCACGACACCCCACGTGATAGAAAAAAACGGAGCGGTTACACGGGGAATATTCTCCCCCCCCCCCATGTTATTCATGTGTTATTGTGTGTTATTCATGTGTTATTGATGTGTTATTATGTTATTATAACACCAGGAATATTCCCAGGACACAATAACAGATGAATAACACACAATAACACATGAATAACATGGGGGGAATATTCCCCTGTGTTACAGCGCCGTTTTTTTCTCTGTCGGGAATATTCTTATTGTGTGTTATTCATATGTTATTGTGTTCTGAGAATATTCTTAGTGTTATAATAACACAATAACACATCAGTAATACATGAATAACACACAATAACACATGAATAACACAGAGGGGAATATTCCCCGTGTTACCACGCCGTTTTTTGTTTCCTGTCGCGAGGGGTGTTGTAGCGTGATTTCATTGGCTAAGCACGTTACTCTACGTGCGTAATACTGATGTAATATTTTTTCCTACAGATGATATATTCATCAGACTTCACTATTTACAATTCAACAGAGAAGTACATTATTGAGTTTAAATAACTTATGTTGAAGTTGCTTAATTCAATTGCTACGCTGCTGAAATTTTCAATACACGAGACCTAACAATATTAGGGATAATTATGGCTAGACATAGTGTTATTATATTAAGGGTGCTAAGCATCCATAAGGTGATATGGTTTCTTAATGCTAATTGCACTAGACAATGTGAGATGTTAAAAATGATTCATTCCCCTTATTTTAATTTTGAGGAATCCTTTCAGAAAGTATAGCTTAAAATGTAATATAAAAAATACATTTTCAAGTTTAGTCATTCTAAATACCGAAATGAATCTAGTCGGAAGAAACCACTTCATTCATTTTATGCTGCGATTGTGTTATTCCTAGGGTTCAAAAACAATCTTGTCTTCATTATTGTAGCTTTTGATTGCCTTCTACCACTGTTCCCTGCTTTTAAAAAGCCACTTTTCAGTTTTGTCTTTCAGCTAGAGGAATTTTTCAATTCAAACTTAGTTTAATTAGAGGTTATAATTTTAATGTACCTCTCATTACATGAGTGTGAATGCTTTAAGAAATTATAAAAGAAAACATCATCAAGGCGAGTACATGTGCACCTACCACCTTACATCAAGACTCTAGCCCAGAGAGTTTCTTGGTGATAACGCCTGCTTGGGAGGTGTTTGATGTTTTGGAGCTTACCTCGCCATACACACATGCCAAAGCAAGTTATATATGATAACTGGAAGGCATGGCTTATGTACCAGATAAGTGACAAATGCTGGAGCGGAACGGAGCGAGCCAACGAAGCGGAGCGAGTGACCAGAGTGAGCAAGTGGAGTGGAGTTGATGCATTTGTCCAATCAGAGGGAGTTTTGTTGTGTGGATTGGGGGGGCGGGGGC